AGTATATAATAGCTGTCAAGATTTCAACCAATGGGGAGAAGAGCCAGAAAAGTGAATAGGCCCCTTTGGCTTAAGGGCCAAAATGGTGTGCTAAGAGCTAAATAATTTGCTGAATTCCAAGGCTGTGCTTCCAGCCAGATGAATACAAAGGATTCAACAGTTAAGGAAGTTATTCCAAATCACCAGGGACACAATTGTAAGGAAGTCATGCAGAAGCTGAAAAAACAAGTCCCGAGGGAAAATGCATTGAAGTCAATATCCAAAGGCAAGGGGGAAGTCATGGGTAGAAATACAGATAAAGTTCCATCAGAGTTGGCAGGGCTAGAGACTGGAGGGGATGAGGCAGAGGAACCTCTGGTGTGGCTGTCATCAGGCAGGGAAGAAACTGACATGGAAGCAAACTAGTTTCCGTCAGAAGTGAAACGGCTCTACCAGAGATCTGTGCAAATCCAATCACTTAGCAAACATAAGCATAAAATATAATACCAATGGGATCTCACCATTCCCAGTCCATTATTTTCATGAATAAAGACAATACCTATCAGATCTGTGAGCACAAGGGTTAAATTGGATTATTATATCTCATTAAAATAACGCATTAAAAACCCATCTCCTATGTAACTAGTCCTTTTGCAGGAACTGTAATAAAAGTAAGAAGCAATGTCTAATCATAGTTTTCAAAAAAGTATTGCTATGAGCTTCATATCAAATCAAGATATGAAGCCAATTCTAAATCTTAGTTTTTTTCTAAGAAATTATAAGTACAGTTTTACTGTTCAGGGGATATGGGAAACTTTGGTTAACTGAAGATCTTTTGATTTGTTTCTCTGCATTAGAAACAGAGATGCAAGAAATCTGTATGCATGGACAAAAGATTTATTTACCTCTCAATTTACTAAATCAAGCTACGTTTGTCTGACTCAGCTCCCCCATCATTACAAGCTAAACAAGGCATATGAGGATCAGCAGTAGAAAATAATCTCTTCAGATCTCACATGTACATACAAAACACCTAATATGCTATATATTGGGGAAAATTATAGTCACAGTTTCACTTATTGGGGAAAGCTGCATATGAAAAAAGTTGTTTAACTTTTTTCAAAAAATAACTTGTAGATATTTTAAGATAATAGTAAATGAATAAATGTAACACCAATTTGATTTAATTAATCTGCATCTCCCTCTTTTCGTGAATGTTTCTAGCAAGAAGCACTCACTCTAGAGAAAAAGAGCTTCAACTAGGCCACAAGGCTAGACTTCCAGACCCTATCAGCACTGCACCTAGGTTTAGAATTTATCATGTATGTGTTTTGTGACTGAAAAACAGCGTATTGCTAAAACACACTGATGTCATCCCTACTTCTCTCTAAAAGTCACTTAAGAAATAGAACCAATTAGGGTCAAAGAATGTGAAATTCCAGGAAGTCGTCAACATGGCAAACATTAAAACATGTCTTAAAGTTAAAAATATATTCTTTCTGCCTTGTATCATGGCCCCCTCAACTGCTTCCAAAACTACACGTCTTCTCAGAGAAGAGTGGTAACCAGAAACCATGATGGAGCCAATGAGAAAAAAGAAAAGGACTCTTGGATCTTTCATACTCTGAGAAGACACTAGAATTAGTGTGAACTATAGGATCAGGCTGCTAATTTCTTATTAATTAATTAATTATTCTAGAAAATAATTGCTTATTTTCCTGCCAGGGTCTTGAGCCTTTAAAAGAGTGGTACATTGTATGTAGCCTTCAAAGTCCTTTCACTTTAAAGCCATGTATATGGCCTCCAAAGTCCTTTGAAAAGTTTTCTCTGAATTTTAAATTTTAACACAGCAAAGGTGTAACAATATTAAGTGTATCAAATTAAATCAAACTTAGCTCAATTCCCCCCCCCTTTTTTTATTACACCTGTCATCCAACTCAAAAGCTGAATCTAGATTTTGGCCCAAAAATTATTGAAAAATCCTGCTTTAAACAGTGGTGACGTGCAAAAAGTCATCAGCTAAAACTTTTCCAGGATAAAAATGCAGTGCTATGGAAACTTTACCCTTTTATTATTGCTACTGTTATTAGGGCTGAGCAGAAATCTGGACAAAATGTGATTCAGACTGTACACAGACACACATGGAGCACCTGTTCAGAACATCTTAAACCAAACATGTCTTCTTGCCCAGGCCTGCTTAGGAACAGATTCAGTCACATAAGGTGTTCCCAATGGGTGCTGTACTATGTCCCCATCAGCATTCTGAATTCAGATCTCCTGGTACCCTACTTGTTATTGCCTGGTACTTAAATATATACACAAACTCACACACAAAACACTTTTGTATAGCAAGTAAAGATTGTATGTATGTCTCCTCCTCCTCCTCCTCCTCCTCCTCATTATTACTATTATTTTGGTGCTTTTGAGTCAGTGTTGACTACCAGTGAATGCCTGGATAGGTCCCTGCAGTTTTCTTGGCAAGATTTCGGAAGTGTTTCGCCACTGCCGGCTTCCTACGGCTGAGAGAGCATGACTGGCCCAAGGTCCCCCAGCTGGCTTTGTGCCTAAGGTGGTCCTCCAGTTTCTAGCCTGGTGCTTTAACCACTACACCAAACTGGCTCTCCATCATCTTTAAAGGAGCTAAATAAATGCAACTAATTACAATAGCACCTATTCCACCAAAACATACCTTATTTATAACTGATCAATTTCTATACTTTCACCCATAGGAGCCAGTGGGATTTAAAGGCATAGTAAAAACAATATCCAGTCTAAAAATATGTTAAAAAAGAGGTAGCCAGGTTAACACTGATTCAACCAAGGTAAATTTCTAGACAGATTAAAACACAAAAGGGCCATCAACTCTTCAGGAAAAGCTTTCTGATACAGCCATGGCTTGACCCTGTGGCAGCAAGACAACAACAGATTGAAGAGCCAGCTGGCCAAATGTCTGTGATCCAGCTCCAGAGAAGTCCTGGCCGTGTGCTCTTCCAGAAAGAAGAAAATACACAGAGCAGCACCTCCAGACAGATCAGCGAGTGGGGGGTGGGGAAGTATTCTTTAAGGATAACCCAGACAAGTAAGTCTTGAGCTCATGCCAGGAATAATAGTATAATCCTATATATAGCCCCTCCAAAGTTAATCCCACTGAGTTCACCAAGTGCATTTATGATTGTAGCCTCGTGAAACAAATAGATTTGAGAGAGAATGAAAGGTTGCTTGCTTTCCAATTTTTTTTTTCCTGAAAAAAGTCTTTAGTATGACTTCAAGAGTCCCCTTTCACAGGCTGTGTTCACATGACAGAGATACCCAAGGTTAAATAAATCATGCCTTTCTCTCTTAACCCAACTTTTCTGAGTTCACATCATACACTGAACTACATGAGCCAGGTTCACCCAACGTGCTAAAGTATGGTTGGCTGTGGTTCAACATGTTGGATTTGTGTTTTGTATGTTGTCTTGAGCTCCTGTAAGAAAAGGCAGGATGTAAATAACCAATGAAAGAGCCTTTCACTGAAACTTGCAAAGCTGCATGCTGAAAAATGTCCTTATTGTTCCTGCTCCCCTCAGCCCAGGAGAAGGAAAGCAGTCTTCACCCTGAAGTGAAAACTTGGTTTTGTTGTTTTAATTTACTAATTGTTCATAAAATGGTTTAAAAAGCACTCCTCCCATCATCCAAGAGGAATTCTCACGCTTGCTGCTCCACTAAATAACCTCCCATCATGCTATTATCTTCATATTTATTGTATTTTTATGTATGATTCTATGTCTCTTGATCTCGTAAATCCTCAGTTTAATGTGTGATTTTACTTCTCTTAATTTGGACTTCCTTCAGTGGTTCTCTTGCTCTGTTACTTTTCTGAGTTTGGTCTGTGGTCTTTAGGGGCATCAGATTCTTCTGATCCTGACATATGGCATATATATGCACACTTTGCAGGATGAGCTCATGATCCAGACTTTGTTGCTGCTACAGAACTTGTGTCTCTTTCCCTTTTTTCAAAGTGCGAGTAGTGCTTGATACTCTTAAGGAAGTAATTAAGCATTTGCACCCCTCAAAACTCACAGAGTTCACATAGCTAAGTAGATGCGTTTTTCTTCTCTCCTCTTTTGGGAGTGTGTGTGTGTGTGGGGGGGGGGTGGTATTTATCACCTTGCTTGAAAAAGAAGTTTAAACCTGCACACAGTTTTGTGATTCTGAATAATAATACTCATAATGATGATGCCAGTGTGGGGTTCCAGTTAAAGACCAGACAGATTCAGGTCCCTCTGCCGTTCAGCCCTGAAGCCTCACGAACAATTCAGACCAGTTACCCTCTCTCAGCCTAATCTATTTTACAAAGTTGCTATGAGGGGAAGGTGGGGAGAATTACGATGCACGCCAGCTTTAGTCCCTAGAGGACAACGCTACAGATAAATAAATATTGCCTGGCGTCTCCCTAGTTATTTCCACAGCCTCCCTACTTTTCTCCCTGGATTGTGTATCGGCTCCTAAAGAGATAAGGAACGCGACTTCCATTCACGCTTCTCCGCCGCGTTTCTCCCTAACTGTGGGGCGTGGCGAGCGCTTTGGGAAGACAAAGGACTGGCAGAGAAAGGGTTAAGCGGCCTCGAACAGAAAAAGCAATGCCCTCTGTCCCATAGTGAAGTTACATCGCTGGATAAAAAAAAAAAAAAAGCGCGACGGAGGGCTGCCCAAGTTCTTGGCTGCCTTTTGAAGTTTTAAACCAATTTCGCAGAATCTTGATCTAGTGAGATCGGCAGGGAACGACCTCACCACCGGCTACCTCAACAGTGTTCAGAGCTGAAAAAATGTCTGATTTGCCCCAACGTTTCCCCATCCCGAGGACGCGAGGAACCCCCGCTCACTATTGAGACTCTCCACGCAGCCGCCGCAAAAATCTCGCGGAGAACCAGAGGGACCTTCAGGAAGGTAAAGAAAAAAAGGAAAAAAAATACCCAGCGGCGTGGAGCCCAGTTGAGAGGGGCTTTCTAGGAAGCGCGAGGTACCACAGAGGCACTTACCGGCTGCCGCAAGCTGCCAGGGGGCGCGCTTAACCATGCTGCTAAGGCGGGCGGCGGTGCGAAGACTGGGATGCTGAGCGCGCCAAGGCCGGTAGAGCCCCACGAAAGGGGTGGGCGGGGCGGCTTCTGTAAGTCAGAACACGCCCAAGGCAAGGAGGGCCCGGGGCCGAGAGAGGTGGCCTTCGCTGGCTCGGCCCAAATCGCTTCCCCTCACACCTTCCCTTTTTTCCCTAGACATGTTTTGAATAGCACTTCTCTATTAGTCTCCTTCCCGCTACTCCAGATGGTGTACATACAGAAAAATAAAACATAATTCATAGAGTAAAATTTACAAATCAGCTCAGGTCTGTTCCCATACCAGAAGCTGATCAGAACATAGCTGGGTTTCATAGCTGGGTTGCAAGCAAGATGGGGGCTCCCCATACATGGGGGGGGGAGTTATTTCAGAGTGAGTGAGCTGCCACTGAGAAAGTGCGCCTCTGAGTTCCAACCCCCTCAAGAGGGTCTGTCCAGGTCCTCACCCCAGGACCTGGACAGA